AAATGTCAACTGTTAACCAACACTGCGACCTAAACATCCCAGCACCACCATCTGGCTTCACCACTGGGGTGCCTTGAAGGCATGTCACAGCTCCTCTGTGACACAAGCTAGGACACCAGGGCTTGGTGCTGCTTTCTCTCCCCTACAAGAGCTGTGTTTTGTCTAGTTAATTCCACCTCTAACACAGCACGCCCGCTCAGTGCCTCTCTGATCATCCCCCACCCCATCCAGGCCACCCCAGCTCTGCCCCAGACTGGCTCCTGTTCTTGCCCCTAAAACCTGGTCTCACATGCAGCCAGAAGGATCCTTTCAGAGTGCAGCTCTGAACACTCGGGCCCTCCCTCCCTGCTGGTTCAAGCTCTGTTCAACTCCTGCAGTCGCTGAAGACCAAGGGCCAATCTGTTGCCCACTGGACTGTTGGGGACTGCCTTCCCCTCCAGGAGGCACCCCTCCTCTGTGTGTCCCTCCCCCTTGGTCCCTCCTTCCAGGCCATTTCCCCTGCTGTGCTCTGCTCTGCTCCCGAGGGCCTGGGCTGCTTCTGGGGCTCTGCCTGGGGTCACCTTCACTTCGCTCTTCCCCATCCCTGGTCAGTGCCCACTCACCCTCAGTGCCCTGCCACCTGGAAGCCCCTGGTGCAAATTCTCTTGATGTTAAATTAGATGAGCACCCCTGGTCCTCTGCCATGCCTCTGCACAGCTTGCCCCTCACCGACTCAGCACAAGTGTACATTGATTTTGTGATCATTTGATTGATCTCTGTATCCCTCAAAAGCCTGGTGCCCCTAGAGCCCAGTGCCCTGCTTCCCTGCTCTGATCCCCAGCACATCATAAGTGTTTAATTCATGCATGGATCTCTGTGAAGGAGAAAATCTAGTCCTTCCCTTCCCTTTTCTGTGCATTCCTCTTCTGAAAATTAAACAAGGTTGCTATTTTTTTTTTTTAATTTCATTTACTTTATTGTACAAATACCCTTTAGCTGTGGAAGACATAATGGAATTTGAAATCCATCCTTGCAGTTGTTCTGGACAGTTAGATATCTACAAAGTGACATCATCACAAAATGCTCTCGTGTACTTTCACTGTGTTTTAAATAACTTAGATGGGCAAACTAGTCTACCTACCTTCACCAAGGTAAATTCAAAACAGACGTGGGAGATGTATTTAGAATGAATATAAGGTCAATTGAAGTCTATTTTGGTGGAGTGGAGGTCTTCAGCAGATGCATTTTTTTTAAATTGTTGATGGAACTTTATTTTATTTGTTTATATGTGGTGCTGAGAATCCAACCCAGTGCCTCACACATGCTAGGCACGTGCTCTATCACTGAGCCACATCCCAGCCCCCAGATGCAGTTTTATTCAGCTTGCTACTGACTGATTCACCTCAAGCAGCTTCTCTGAGTCTAGCTTCTACCTAGATACAGGTGATTGTTTGAGGCCAACTGAAATGTTAAATGCAAAAGCACTTTGAGAAGTACAACATCTCAAACACATTTAGTTTAAACAAAAATGCAAATGATCCCTCAGACTCTGTTTGCTACGTTTTTCCCCAAACAGCTCATGCATGTGTGTTCTCAGTCACGCACCTGCTGGGGCCCGTGAGAGCATCTCATTCTGCGCATTCTGGTTCAGGATCTTTCCAGGGGCTCAGTTGCAGCCAGCATAGTAAATGACTCATGCGATTGAACTCCCAGGATGCAGCAAAACGATGACTTGCGAGAAAGGCACCTGGGCTGGGAGATGGCATTTGTAACCACCTGGTGCCGATAAATTTGCTGCCTCTGGGACAGAGAGAAGGTACTGGGTTTCTTGCACGTATTGGCTACTAAACTGGTTAGCCTGCAGGGTGGGCAGCTTCATTTCCATCAGAAAAGTTTTAGATGACAGTAAAGTGGAATCTAATTTAAAGAAGAGGACAGTGGAGGGACAAGTGCAGAGGCTTTAGACGAAATTTTGCTAAACTTTTCCCCAAAGTCCAAATAGCTTGGAACACGGGGATTTGGGGAATGGAGCAGATGGAGAGAAACACAAACAGCGTAGGCAGCTCGTCAGACCTGGAACTCGGTGCTGCATGGAGCTCGTGATCCCGCATGGCCGTGTTTTGCAGTGGGGCCCACGTGGTTGTGGACTCACTGTGTTTACATGACCAACATGACATGTAAGTTGTTTACATAAAGCGTACACATAGGCCCTAGGAACTCATCAAGGACTCTTATGATCCTCCCTGGTGACCAGATCTGGGCACTCTACACATTGGAGTAGAAACTGTCCTGGCCGCCCGCGTGTTGATGCTGAATGTATGTTATAACATACTCCAGTGAGCTTTGGACTGCAGCCTGCAGCAGAATTTTTTAGGGAATGTTATAACACTTGGAAATCAAGTGAATCACGCTTACTTTCTCAGCCAGAAAAATGAGCCGTCTCTTGTGCGCCAGGTATTGCCAAATGAAAGGGCTGCCGATTTGGGGGTTGAGCCTTGGTGCTGGTTTTACAAAACACCTATTCCCTTCCACCAAGATTGTTTACTTGTTGTGATTTATGTTTCTCCGTGTGCCTGTGTATGAGTTGGCTCAGATGGAGCAGTAAATGGTCTAATGGTCATTTAGTCTCCCTAAGCTCCTGGAGTCACCTCCTGAGCTTGGCAGGCAGACTTCACAGGTCTCAGTAAAATACTCAGAAATCAGAGGATCTGGATGCAAAGTCAGAAGCCACTTCATTCATCCACTTTTCCCAAACATTCTAGAAGCATCCAAGACAAATACATGGGCTATTTTACTTTTAAGCTTCTAGGAAATGGGTCTGCAGGCCTGGCCCTGTGTTTGGGTATCTTTCTGAGTAATTCCTCAGGCTACAACTTTTCAAGATCAAGAATAGCTGATTCTGGCTCCATCATCACTGAAGACGTAGTTAGGATGAGGGACTGGGTATCCAGAGGCCACCAATACTCTCACTGAAAATAGAAGAGTGAGAAGAGTCCTGGGGATTTCATGGGAAGGCAGCTCACTCCTGTTCCCATCATCTGTGAATCCTGTATCCAGATACCATGCAAATGGTGGCCTGGAAGGGTGGTGACAGTGGTGACAAGGTGAATAAAACTGAGAAGTCCTCCTCTTTCCCAAAGGAACTCAGCTTTTCTTTGGTTGAACCCAGCTCTTTCTAATTAGCAAAACTTCCTTTCAAATCCCATTCACCTTAGCTAGAGTTTCCACTCGTGTGCACGTCTGTAAACAGGCACGATTTGACAACCAGTGCCAACCACAGCAAATTCATCCTGTCCTTTCATTTTCTCCTGTTGATACAGTTCGGAGCTTTGAGGAAGCACACAGGTAACTAGTGCTCCATTGTCCTCAGCTCAGAGCATCTGCAGTGGGGGTCAGCATGCTCTCCTGTCCTCCCCCTTCTGGTGTCTCAGCTTCTCCTCCTCCTCGGAGTTCACCTACCCCTTCTTCTTCTTCTTTTTTTTTAACATGTTTTCTAACCTATGCTCACAGCAGGCCAGCGAAATCTGCATTGTTATTTTCATCTTACAAATGAAGAAACAGGTTCAGGGAGGTCAATTGTTTGGAATTGGGATTGAAAGCAAGGAGGGTGTGGTCCCAAGGAGCACAATCTTTTCTGTTACACTGGGAGATAATCTTGTGAGCATCTGTACCCAGAGCTCTTTTTTTTTTTTTTTTTTGATGGTAAAAGGAATACAGTATTCTCCTTTTAAAAATTTGGAAAAGACAGAGAAGTATAAGGAAGCATATAAACATCTTTTGTCATCAGGCCTTCCAGTGATCACTGTGCAGTGACCCCCAGATCTGCCTCCAAACACTTATCCCAGAGGGGTGCCAGCTTCCCCGGCCTCCTCTCTGCAGAAAGGGGAGGGAGAATTACACATCTCGTGGGGGTTCTGGCTCAGTGAGGTGTTGCTGAGGAGCTTAGTCCACAGTGGGAAGCAAACTGTTTTCCATGGTCCTCCCTCTGGCTGAGCCTCCCAGTGTGTAGGTGGAGGCCTCCACTTAGTGCCATTGCCCAGTTATGCTCTGTGAGTAGGTCTTGCTTTGGGGCATTCTTTTCTCTTCTGCTGTTTAATGAAGCGTCTTTCCATTTCACCTATAGTTGAATATTTAGGTTGTTTCCTAAATATTCGGGGGTTTGGTGGGTGGAGAGGAAATGCAAATGTGGGGGACCTTTAGTGATACCTGTAATTTGTGTGTGTGTGTGTGTGTGTGTATCAAAAGCAAAAATGATAAAACATTAACATCTATTAACCCTGAGTCGTAAGTACATGGGTCTCTGTGATTATTTTTTGAGCATTTTTCCAAATGTGTGATGATCAACTACATTTAAAATTTGTGGTGCTAAGATAAATGTTCTTGCACACAGGGCTTGTGCATTTCCAGGGTTATTTCTGCAACATAAATTCTAAAGCGGAGATATCTGGGTTAAAGCATTCAGTGAGTCCAAGAAGGGTTACAGTTCAGTTTGCAATCTCCATTTCTGTGCCAACTGTGGTTTTCATAATTTTAAAATGATGTTTGGAGCTGGAATGGGAATTACATTTTTTTTTTATTGTTGTTCCAGGGATTGAACCCAGGTGCACTTAACCACTGAGCCACATCCCCAGCCCTTTTAAATATTTTATTAGAGACAGGGTCTCATTAAGTTGCCTGGGCTGGGTTTGAACTTGTGATCCTTCTGCCTCAGACTCCTGAGCTACTGAGATTATAGGTGTGTGCCACCATGCCAGACCGAGGATTTGCATTTTTTAGAGTAATTATAAAGCTGAACAATTTTCCTTTTAAAAATTTCTTTGGTGGTTTCCTCTTTATATCCTTTGCCTATTTTTCTGAGGTGAGTTAGAAGAGGTCTTTATGCATTAATGGTATTAGCCCTTGATGTGGATTATTCTCAGAAATCAATTCTTCCTGCAGAGTTGTTACTGATGCACGGGTGGGGAAGACCCCCACATCCCGCGGGTCCCATTTATCCCACTCTTTGCTCTTTCCGCCCTCAGACCTCCAGTGGAAGTCCGGGCACATGGCCGAGAGCCTCACCAACATGCCGCGGCACTCCCTCTACATCATCATCGGCGCCCTCTGCGTCGCCTTCGTCCTGATGCTGATCATCCTGATCGTGGGCATCTGCCGCATCAGCCGCATCGAGTACCAGGGCTCTTCGCGGCCGGCCTATGAGGAGTTCTACAACTGCCGCAGCATCGACAGCGACTTCAGCAGCGCCATCGCCTCCATCCGGCACGCCAGGTGAGCGGGCAGCGCGGTCGCACTGTTGTCCCGGGTGCTGGGCACAGCACTTCCCATCCACAGAGAGGGTGTTAAAGGGTAAAACACGTTCAGCGTGGTGCTGGGGGCGTGTCAGGACCTCTTCATGAGCAAGCCTTTCTTCATCTGCCCCTAGCTTTGAATGCTCCATTCATTTACCTTGTACTGGTCCCTGACTACACATATCTGATTCTTAATCGCTGTTTATTGGAACATTTTTTTGACGATTTCTTTCTGGAATGCCTTTATGTTGCTCTTAAAATAGTCCACATGGACATAAATGGTTCCCTTTGATTTAAAGACCCACAAAAATAAGGATAAACAGCTACATGCTGCACTTAGTGCTCACATAATGCAGCCTCCTTTTCTGGAGGAGTCAAGGGTTGGTAGGGTGTCACAGGAGAAATTTAGTCCAGGTGCCTGAAGTGTGGCATTAACGACTCCATTCCATGACTCTATATTCCAGACAGATCATGTAACCTTCCACAAATACAGTTCCCCACCTGCACAGAAAAAAACTGTGGCAGTCACATTGAATTACAAATGTCACAGAATATATAGAGAATCCTATATTTACTTCTCTAAATCTACTATATGATGCTAAAAAATAAGCTACATTTTACTGATGTTTTGCAAAGAATGTTCATTTCAAAATTAACCACAAACTTGTTTGTTGAAGTAAGCCGTGGTCCCTGTTCACTGATGGAGCAATATCAAGCATGCAGTCCAGAAGTCTTTCCTGTGGTTTTTCTTTCTATGGCTCCAACAAGTCCTGGCACATAGTAAACTTTGCTAAAATTTGAGGGCTGAAATGAATGCATGATCTCAGTTCAGGGTTAGGGTTATGTGCTTCAAGCCGTTTGAGAGGTAGATTCATCCCAGGACACCAGCTCAGTACGTGACTCTGGGATGTATTTGCAGTATCACTGAACCAGAAGCAGAGAATGCAGAAAGGAATGGAGAATTGACATGTTCCCTTGATGTTCAAGAGTCTTCTCTCTCCTCTCTGTTCCTGGAGGAGCTTGGTTCACCAGGAGGGATCAGAATCCATGGCTGCTTTATTTGATGTGTTGGGAGACCCAAGAAATCAGATTCCCTCCAATCCCCAAGGCGCGTGCAACTAAAATCCTTCAGGGCTGCCGTGGAGGAGTATTTTATTTCAGACCCAGAATAGTTCAAGATGGATGCATTGGAACATATTGCCTGTATAGCCCACTGGGAAGATAGTTACCTGAATACGATTGAAAGAAAGAATAGACTTGAAAGCATTGATAGAACCCAGCGCTTACATGGTGCCAATGTTTGTCAAAAATGTTTAAGGCATGGTTTCTAATCAGCATGCTTCTACATGCATCCGTGACCGCAGATGCATTAAAATAATACTTTCCCAAGTATCTGGAATTTAGGAAATCTTTGCTAAACGTTCACTCAGCACAACAGCATTTCAGCAGTCTGCCTGTAGAGAGGTCATGGCTGGGTGTCTGGCTCCTTGGGCTTCTTTGCTCTCTCTTCTTGGAAATCCTAGAAGAGCCTTGGCAGAATCTCAGCCTCTTTGATGTTACTGTCTCCCTAGTTTCTAGCAATGGCCTGTGGCTAATGTCCATTTCATGGGATGTCTCCTACCACAAGCCTAGAGGTGATAGTGAGTTGGATTGATTGCAGCCTAGAGGACACACGAGATGCATTCTGAGTGGGTCACCTATGACACTCACAAGATACTCTGGCTGTGCCTGGTGATTCTGATGTCAGAAGGATCTCTCTCTCTCTCTCTCTCTCTCTCTCTCTCTCTCTCTCTCTTTCTCTCTCATTTTTTTTTCTCTCTCTCTTACCAAGAGCCATCTGTCCCACAGCTGCTTTGCTTACACACAGACAAGACAGGGTCTGCAGCTGAGCAGTAGGAGCAAGGCCGTGGCTCTCCACAGTCTGACACTGAGGTCACATCTCAGTGGCCGACTGCTTACTGCTCTATGTGCTAGAGGTGTCTGATCATGAAAAACAGAAAAAGGAGAACTGGGAAGGGACATGTTCACTTTCCCCCAAAGAGCACGAAACCTTCTGATTTCAGCCTTTCCCAAATTGAGATCTACCTGACATTCTCTGCTGTATCCTTTTAGCTCCTGACTTTGGGGGACTGTGAACAAGAGGAACGGACACTCTGATCTGGCTTATAACTTGTGGCAATATCTTTTGTTTCTTTAGAGAAATAGGCATGCAAGACTGGTCACCATGTTTGAGGTGTGTCTGTGTTACTGTTACTGCTGGGCTGAGACTTCTGTTAGTGCCTCTGTGTCGGCCAACATTGACTGAGAGCTTTCCGTCGGCCAGACACAGTCTACACTATCATGCACATTTTCAGGAGTTTCACAAGAATCCTAGGTCGTGTGTTTCTTCAGTTCCCTACATATGCGAAAAGAGTCTGAGCTCAGCAGAGCAGTGCAGTATACACAGGGTCTCAGTTTGTGAGGAAGCCAGGATCAAAGCAGGTGTGCTGATCTGAAGCAGATGCCTTTACACCCTGCAGCACATGAGCTTGTCAGGAGCAGCAAAAGTGAGAGCTGCAGTTTAAGGCCCTCACATGCATGAAGGCTTCAAGGAAGTGTTCAGAACCCAGGCTCAGGAGCTACATAGCTCCACTTCCGCAAGGACTGTGACCTTGAGATTATCCCCAAGCTTCCACTTCCTCATCTGTGAAGTGGCACAGATGGTATGTGCTCACCTCACAGAGTTGCTGTGACAGCAAGATGAGAAGATCCATCAGTGAAAATGAGACATGGGAGGTGGTGCTGAATGAGTGCCCAGAACAGTGCCTGATGCGTGAACCCTCATGGGGCCAAGGGAGGAGGTGTGGACACAGCCACCAGGGGATCAGGGCCAATGGGCTGTTTTCCAGGAGGAGGGGGGGGTGTCAATTCATTTTCATCTTTTTAAAATCCCTCAAGTAGACATTCCCAAGTGTCATGGTTGGGTCGTGGGATATGAGCTACCATATCATAGGAACATCACACAGAACGTTGAGTATAACCCCCAGTTACAGTGTGTAGTCTTCTCTCAGTTTTGTCAGAATATGTAATAAATAGTCTATGTGTCACTTTCGGAGACGTTCAATACATATTTGCCAAGGGAGTTGAAAGGATATAGGGTCAAGAGATAGACAGACTAAAGAATAATGCACACAATGTCCACACCAGGTCCTTTGGAGAGATGGACTAAGGGTAATTCCGGGGGTCTTCCTCAGAGGCCCACACCACAGCTTGGACTCTGCAGTCCAGCTGGCTCTGCTGTGACTACTGCACTTTACCTGTGTAATGCGAAAGCAGCCAGAGACGGTATGAATGGCTTGACTGTGTTCCAATAAAACTTTATTTAAAAATAGGCAAAAGGCTAGAATCTGGTTACTCTACATTATAATTTTCTCTAGTTTCCAATTTATAGTTTTACAATTAAAATATACCTTCCAGATAAGGAAAAAAGTATGTCATTTAAAAAAAAAAAAAAAGAGCAGTCATATAAAAAGTCTTGCAATAAAATAGGCAACCTTTTACATTGGTTTCGTGCCTGAGAATTTAAAATGGAATTTTACAAGGGTTAGCTGATTTTTAACGTCCTCCCAATTCTAAGATGGAAGATATAAAAAGCTGTTAGCATTTTCAGCATGGATGTGAACACACATACATTTATCACCAAGTGGGAGCCTACCGCTGTGAGAGCTGTGAGATTCCAGAAAAGTCTTGCCTCAGTTTACTGGGTGTTAAAAAGCTCCAGTGTTTCTGTAAAGCAAACTGTTTTAGCTTCCACGTGGCAGATTCTGCACTTCCAATAGAGACCTCCGCGACTCACCCAAGGAATCTGCACGGGCTCTCGCAAACCAGGAAGTTGAAGTAGAGCTCCAGGGCTGTCTCTTTCTCTAGTCCTGGGGCTGTTTGCTTACTTTGCCCAGGTTCCTGTTGTAGTCAGCATTATACTTTATGACCCATTCTGATTGGTGTTAACATGCCCCATGCCACATGGCCACATAAACGTCTGGACACAAAGGATGCTTCCTTGTGGTCTACTTTAAACATACGTGGGTGAGCAAATGGCCCTCTCCAAAGTGGGTTCAGGAAGTGCTTTATCAAACTTGGTGAATCTGAGACACCCATCCTCACACCTGCCTTTGGGTCCATGGCAACATTCAGTCCATGTCCTTTGAACTATCACTGGCAAATGAGTGGCATAAAGCAGAGGCTCGAATTTTCTAGATTTTTTGAGAAAACAGGTTCTTCAAACTGTGAAATCATATAGAAGGAGGTTTTTAAAAGATATGTTTGACTTATTAAGTTGCTTGCACTTTTCCTATCAGCCAGCTCTTTTACTAATCAACTAGTTAACAGGATTCCTTGCTCACATCAGAGTTCTCACAGTGAACAGTCCCATGGCTACAAGGCTAGGATATGAAGAGCAGTCACTGGGTTGCTGGATTTTTTTTCTCTAAAATATCACTATTATGACCAATTTATCTAGCAATGATATGAAAAAGATTGTCAAGATATTTGCACCTTAAATAGGAGCTTTTGACATTTTCAGACTTGCAGAGAAGCATGGGATACAGTGAGCTTTACTCTGTTGCCGCTTTCCCTGTTCTGATTACACAAGCTTCATTCAGTTCAGATCAGCACCTGAGGGCTGAGCCAGCTTCCTCTGTGCCGGCACAGTCATGGATCTTCAGTGAGACTTCACATTTTTTAAGTCCCTCTTAATAATGCAGTGACAGCTGTCGGGGTTCTTGGGACAGAGTGCTTTAACCTTAACCCTGGCCTCCACCTGGCCGGGTTAGGCCACCGCACCCTTGAAAGCTAATCCCTCTTGAGTGACTAGGGTAACCTAGATGGAGGTTTAAAACTAGAAGATCATGCAGGGCACAGTGGCACACGCCTGTAATCCCAGCAGCTTGGGAGGCTGAGACAGGAAGATCACGAGTTCAAAGCCAGCCTCAGCCGCAGCAAGGCACTAAGCAACTCAGTGAGATCCTGTCTCTAAATAAAAAACAAAATAGGGCTGGGGCTATGGCTCAGTGGCTGAGTGCCCCTGAGTTCAATCCCAGGTACCAAAAGAAAGAAAGAAACAAACAAAAAACTAGAAGATCTCGTGAAGCATGCACTGTTTTCTCCTTGCCACTCCACCTTCCTCTCCTCTCCATACAGAGGAGAAGGACTTTCGAAAGATAGCAAAGGGAGAAATAGGAAGACAAGAGAAAAGAGAAGTCACAGTAAATAAGCCTTTAATTCCTAAGGGCTCCATCCTAATAACCTTTTTAAAATTTAAGAGTTTTGGAAAAATTCCTTTTTAAATGAGCCCTGATGTATTTGAAAGAGTTAAAAAAAAAATGTGGTCTATAAAAAGGAGCAAGGGGAGGGGGGGGGCGTGTTCATATGGAAGACTGCTTAAGTCATGTTTTACTCCCGAGGCTTAGGAAGGTGAGGTCCTGAATGGGAAGCGACCACCCAGAAGTTGAATTTGCTTTATTTTAATAATTGCCACCCTAAGACTGGCTTGGCAGGGAGTTCTGAACTTGGATTCTGACTCCTCTGGCTTCTGGGCGTCAGTTGGCTGTCAAGGGGGATTTTGCTATATACAAATCTGTTGGGACGGTGGCTTTGTGCTCAGAGAAAAGCAGTGGCTTGTGGGTGTGCAAAGCAGGAGGGTCTGGGAGTAATAGGTAGGTGGGATTGGATGGCCATCCTGGCAGTCTGTGGGCAAACACCTCATATTTTAGGTCATTTCCTCCCTCTGCCCTCCTGCTGGGCTCTGAGAGCCTTCGCAGCTTGTTCCCCCAAACTCCCCCCGGGAGAGGCTGTCTGTTCCCTGACACCACCCCCACAGCCTGTCCCGGGGAGCCTGTCCAGCTATTCTGTATTCCAGGCACTAATGTGGATGTAAAATAAACCTGCCTCTCCAAATATTTATGGGTCTTGGAAGAGAAAAACAAATCAATACACGTTTTCTTAAAACCTATTGTAGAGCTGTCCTGGCTGGCTGCTGCTCTGCCAGGGTGCAACCTGGAAGCTTCACCATTCACTTGGGCTCCACGCTCTGTGAAATTTGCGTTTTCTCCCTCCTGCACCAAAGACTACCATTTACACTTTTTCAGTTTTAATATCAGGGTGTCTTAAGTTTCTGTACTGGCTGAAGAATATATTTTTAGAGCACTTCGACAGTTCCATTTGATTCTTGAATCTTTTATTCTCACCATTTGCCCTTAATAGGACTTGGAGTCCAATATTTGTCTCATCAGAATGCCCTCTCTTTAATTTCAGGTTTGGAAAGAAATCCCGACCCGCGATGTACGACGTGACCCCCATCGCCTATGAGGATTACAGTCCCGACGACAAACCCTTGGTCACACTGATTAAAACAAAAGATTTGTAATCTTTTTTGGGGGGATTATTTTTCAAAAAGATGAGATACTACACTCATTTAAATATTTTTAAGAAAAACAAAAGCTTAAGAAATTTAAAAACGTTAGCTGCTCAAGAGTTTTCAGTAGAATATCGAAGAACTAATTTTCTGCAGCTTTTAGTTTGAAAAAATATTTTAAAAACGAATTTGTGAACTCCATAGACTACGTTTTAATGTACTCTCAGCTCTAAACCGTAGACTTCTCCTTGTGTGTGCTCTTTTCATGGTAGAGACTACCGCAAAGCCCAGATGAATTTCTGTGGTTGTTACAGAATAAGTCTAAGCGAGGAGAAGTTTCTTTTTGACATGTGAGTGCTGGCTTTTTGAGTAGAGGTAGGAAAATCATGTAAAGTAGAATATGATGCATAATACAGTATACCCGTTACTTAAAAAGAAGTCTGAAATGTTTGTTTTGTGAAAAAGAAGCTAGTTCAATTTATTATTCCTAACCTGGATGACATTAGCCTTTGCCTTACTCTGTGCATGGGTAAGTGACTTCTGCTCTGTTTCACTGAACTCTGCAGAAACATTCTTTCAAGTTGTCTTTTTCGTAACAGTCGTTGAACTTGGCCTTGAAATCATACGTAACGAGCGGGCCTAGCGAGGCAATTTACGATTGGTTTTGATCCATATTTTTCCTTTTGAAAGTCAAGGTTTTTATATCGTGAGTAAATTAAATTTATGTTCTGAGTTATTTGTTGCTAAGAGGTAGTAGATGTAAGAGAGTACTGGTTCCTTCTGTAGTGAGTATTTCTCATAGTGCATCTTTATTTATATCCAAGACATTTTTTGTGGCTGTATTTGATTGATATGTGCTTCTTCTGATTCTTGCTAATTTCAAAGAATATTGAATAAATGTTAGCAAGTCAAGGATGCACCTGTCTCTTTTGTCCTTTTAAAATTATATAAAGCGTTTTGGATTGGAAATGGGCTGTCAAACAAGCAATCCTGCTGTTTGTGATATTTTAAATGGTCTGAGCAATACCCCTCATGCAGTTTGGACATCCTGTGCCTCCTAAGGTCCATACGCTGGAAGCTTGGACCTCAGTGTCCTGATGTGGAGGTGGTGGACTTTTAAGAGGTGGGTGAGTAAGATGTCCTTAGGTCATTGGGGGACTATCTTGGGAAAGGGCTAAAGTAGTTCTCATGAGAGAGTGTTTTTATAAGAGAGTGTCCAGTCCCTGAGTTTCTCTCTGGCTTCCTTTTTTGTGACCTCATCTCTTCCTCCCACATATACATCCACCATTGTGACACTGTGTACCATTAGGCCCTCACCAGAGGCCAAACAAATGGGGCCCTCTGATTCAGACCTTGAATCTCCAAAACTGTGAGACAAAAAAACCTCTTGTCTTGATAAAGTTAGCATGCATCAGGTATTTTGTGAAAGTAAACCAAAATGGTCTAGTATAATAGTCCTATGGCTGCTGGAGCCATTTCCTACAAACTCGGGGAGCCTCTCTTACATCCTGATTGATGTTCAGTGCTGCTTGTCAACATGAAGGGTGGAAACTAAATTAATTTGTGCAACTTGATTTGCCAATGAAATGTGGCATGTGTGAATGTCGAGAGATGCAATCCAGAGCTGCTTCTAGGCATTATGTGCAGCTACCAGTGACCTCAAGAACTACCTCACGCTGCTTTCCTTCAGGGGTCAAATGAAATTGCCTCAGCAACCACTCCTTTGTCCTTAGAAAATTGAAGGTAGATCAGAGCCACCCTGTGTTCAATTTCACTCTGTGTCTAAATGCTGCGCTGGAGTTCCTGTGTAATTTTAGAAAATGCATTTTTAACTTCACAGGGAAACTTTGGTAAGGCCAAGTGATGTTCTGAAATCAGGTGCCTGGGGGGGGGGGGGGGGTTGAAGCACAGAGAATAATTCGAGACACTTTTCCTCCCCTCCCTCCTCTCAGAACATCTGCCCCTAATCTTACAAACGACATAGCAAAAAACCTACACTCTGATTATTAAATGATACAGTGCAATATATTAATATTTTTAGCTGTTTCAGTGTTTGGAAGTAAGAACAGAACATTAGCTGTCAGTTGAGTTGCCATGGCAACACTCTGGAGGGTCCTGCAGATCTTGCTCCCTCCTTCTTCCTGTGAAAGCCTCTGCTGGTCTTGAGGCACACAGACACCTCCAAGGACGACGGGAGAGGCCCTGGAACACTGGCAAGAGTAGAACCCACTTGGTCCACTCCCCTGAGGCCCTGCAGCTGGGTCCGCCCTGCAGCTGGGTCTCCTCTGCTTGCTGCTCTTCTGCTTCTGTCTGACCCTCTAATCATTTTCAATCCCCCAGACTCTCCAAGTAAGTCTACATGACACCCCTTTAAGGACTTGTTTGGAGAATGAAAGACCATTTAGTCTTTCACCAATCATGACTTCTCTTTTTAAAGCAAATTAATGAAGCCTACGAATTCAGACAGGCTGAGAGCAGACCCTGAGCACCTTGAAAACATCCACCCGTTCATTTGGACGTTCAGTGATGATAATTCGTCCCTCTGAGTGTGCTCTGCATCAGACAGATGATGAGCAACAAGAGCCACACGCAAGGACCCTGGCTCCTGGGTCTGGGGCTTGCTTTGAATTAGATCTTGATCTAACAAACAGGTCCAATAAACAGGGTCCCGGAGGGGAGGCTAACTGGCCTCCATCTGCTCATCTGTAGGAGTGGATTAAAACCTTGCTTTAATCATTAACTTGATAATGACTTTGGGCAAGCGACTCTCTGGACCTAGGCTTCATAATTTGGAAAATAGGGGTAATGGTAGGATGTCCCACGAAGGGGCATTGAGAGAATGGCACACCAGAAGGGGTGTTACTCAGCCCCCTTCCAGTGCACCTTAAGCCTTCAGCCCGGTTAGCTGTTGTTGTTATTGTTGTCAGTCTTACTTTAGATACATTGTTACAAAGTAGGTCAATACAAAGCTCTGATGGTGGGGGTGTGACTGTGGTCTGTAGGTGGTGCTCCCTGAATGTGCTCATTGAGCTGCTTTGGCCTGGAGTGCGTTGTCTAAGTGTTAGATGCTCTGCCATCTTGCACTGTCTGGGAAAAGTGCATTGGACAAGGTCAACTACTGCTCAGACCCAAGAGCGCTGATGGTCGTGACCTGATGGATTGAGAATTAGCCCAGTTCTCATCCACGGGCCTTCACAATGTAAAGACAGGAAAGGCTGCCACTGGGAGTGGTGTTGCGGTGTCTCTAGCTTACTGGAGAGTTTTCCCCTAAGCTTTTTCTTCTTGCAAGGAAATGACACACACAAACGAGTTGCTTCCTAGGGATCTTAACAGTTGAGAATTGTTTTCTTTCTTTCTTTCCTTCCTTCCTTCCTTGGGCCTTATGCATGTGAGGCAAGCACCAGCTGAGCGATATCCCCAGCCCCAGAGAATTGTTTTCTTTGATGTAAGTACCAAAATCTCCACTTAGCACAATGAGGTTTGGACCCACAGAAACTGAAGCTTGTCTTGGATTATGATTTGATCTTTTTCTCGAAGGATATGGATTTAAAAACAATAACAACAACAAACTTTTGGGTACAAATATTTTGAGACCTCTTTTTTTTTTTCGTTTATAGAATTTTATAGTTTTACTTATAAGGGCAAACATTAAAACTACAGGAAAGAAAGACATATGCTAAATAGTTACAGAGTGTAGGCTACAAAGCTCCACAGACCCCCCAGCTGCCTCCAGAGCAGCCACTGCTCCCCTGTCTAACACGGGGGAGCTGAAGATGTTGGAGGTCACCTTTCCAGCTTCCTTCCCCTTTGGAGGGGAGCCTGTGGCTCAGCATTGGCCAGCAGGACTGTCTGGGAAATCTCCTGGGAAGCCCCCTATCAGGGAGTGACGGGGTCCGGGAACACCATCAGATCCTCCAAGTGTGGCAGAGGAGACTGCTGAGAGGTCACAATATAAAGAGCAGGGACTTGGACACCCTTACTAAGAGGTTTGATGAACCCCAATGTGATAAGAATCACTCCTGCACCCCAGCCGTTTTTCAAAACTGAGGAGAGGGAATGGAAGTGGCTAATTTAGAGCAGGGGTTGGTAAACTAAGGCCCAGAGACCAAGTATGGTCCAATATTTTTTTTTTTTTTTGCAGACATCAAGCTCACCTTGAATCCAGTTATGCACAAAGGTTTCCTACCCTTTCAAGGATTTTGTTCTTTCTTCTAGTAGACTGATAGTACCACGAAAAGGACACGGTTCTTACTATATCTTAGTGTTCCTTTTTGGGACTTCATTTTCTCCCTTGTTATGCACGTAGCTACATAATGTGCTTAAGTTTCAAGGCTGAGATATTTAATATCTAGCCCTTTACAAAGTTGCCTGACCTCTTTCTTAGGGCCATGTTTTAATCAGCTTTTTTGCAGCTGTGACTAAATGACCCAACCAGCACCACTGTAGAGAAGGAAAAGTTTATCTGGGGGCTCACAGTTTCAGAGGTCTCAATCCATAGACAGCAGACTCCATTCCTCAGGGCTCAAGGTGAGGCAGGACATCATGGAGGAAGAGTGTGGCAAAGGAAAGCAGCTCACGTGGTGGTCAGGAAGCAGAGAGACTCCACTCTCCAGATACAAAATATATACTCCATGGCCACGCCCCAATTCCCACCTCCTCCAGCCACACTCCACCACTTCAGGTACCACTCAGTTAATCCCTATCAGGGGATTAAATCATAAATTGGGTTAAGACTCTTACAACCCAATCATTTTCTCTCTGAACCTCCTTGCACTGTCTGACATGTGGACTCTTGGGGACACCTCATATGCAAACCGTAACAGGCCGCATTCTATAGTTGAGCGAAGCCACACCCCTCAGGCCTAGCACAGTGCTGGCACATAGTAGGTGCCCCATGCCCGTGAATGCACTTCATCCACCCCTGGATGACTCTGTCTTATTCAACTTTATCACACTACTTCCCGGCCTGGTGTCTGACCTCCAACAAGTCATTGGAATAAATGGATTGAAAAACACATTGCAGGATCAATTAAAGGAGGGACAAATGGAAGCTTGTATGTGGGAGAACAACGAAGGCAGGGGCTTCACACTTTGAGACTCTGGACTCATACAGCACCAGCAGGAGTGGCCGAGGGATTTCACACGCTGATGTGCAAAGTCTCTGAAGGATCTCTCTCCTTTGCATCTGATGACCTGGGCTGGGTAGTGGAGGATCTGGACTTGTCAATCAAATGTATATTTTTTTTCATTTGCTTCAATTTATTATGTTTCCTTACAACCACAATACTCGAGGGGGTGGTCATAGACTTTAGTGAGGACTTTATGGGATGTGGAGATGGGGCACAGGCCTGGGAAGTGGCCTTCCACCACACACAGACTCCACTGCATCTCCTGGTCTTCTCTCATGCTCATCTCCCTCTCCAGAACCACAAGAAAGTTAATTCCATGTTCTGTTTTGTTATAGAGCCATTGCTGTGGCCCTCAGGGTCCCTTCTATCTCAAATGCACATCAAGTTCATTTCCAAGCAAATATTGGTCTCTTCCTGAAAGGACTTGTCAGGGAAAGCTCCCAAGAAGATTGAATTGTCCACCTGCCATCTCATCCATATGTGGTGAGGATGCCTCTGACGACAGGTAACACAACACCCACAGTTGCTTCAACCGTAAGGAAATCCTGCACCTAGAGG